TATTTTATAATTTTTTTTTATTTTTTTTAGTTTAAAAAATCACTGACAAAATATATTTCCGGATTTTTTTTCACTATTTTACCACTTTATCGTTCAAAATATGAATGTTCATTGGGGTTTTTTCCAGATTTTTTCACTATTTTACCACTTTAACTAGTTATACAAGTCATAAGAATGTATCCAACATGTTTTATAAAAGTTCAAGAAGTTATTTAACATGTTTTGGATTGTTCAAGTACTTATTTGTTCCAAAAATTGTCCAAAGAGTTATTTAACATTTTTTGGAATGTCCAAGGACTTATTTGTTCCAAAAATTGTCCAATGACTTATTTAACATATTTTGGAATGTCCAAGAACTTATTTGTTCCAAAAAATTGTCTAAGAACTTATTTAACATGTTTTGGAATGTCCAAGAACTTATTTGTTCCAAAAAAAAGTTCAATGACTTAATCATTCCAAACAAGAAAGTCCATTGGTTTTTATTGTACTTTTCTCATATATAAAAATTAAAATTAAAAATGTAAGGAATATAAAATAATTTTAATAACTAATTATAAGAATATAGAGTGTAAATGTTTAGTAAATTGCAACTTTTTATGCATAAAGTCCCTTTTTTGTGGTAAACATGTATTTTTAAATTCTCTCTTTTTTTTTACTCAAAACATTACTTTTATATAAAAAAAATCCAAATCAGTCTTATGTATAAACTTTGGCTATTTAAAGATTTTTTTTTTGTTTTTTATTAACCTGGATATCCAACCGGCTATGCAAGCTGACTAATCTAAGGACGACTACCTGCTTTGTAGATAGTCCGGAGTTACCGCATTTGAGCCTCCATGACTACAAAGAGATTTTTATTCCTCCTTGGATTTGAACTTGGGATGTCCAGGTACTTTTGACCTTTGGAGTCAAGCTCAAACCAATCAAACACCACTCTTATAGTTGATTTTTTTTATTAAAATCAATCTAACGAATTAACTATTTTTTAAATTTCCCTTCATATTGATCCTTGTTTATTTTATTTTTTTCAATTTTCAATGTTATTAATTTAAAATATTATAAAATTAAGAATATACGTATATTTTTAGTGGATGTAGTAAATTTTTCCAGGTGATTATAACGATATATATTTAAAATAAAAATGCATTACATATTATCTTTGGATAAAATAAAAATAAATATGAGAGTGTTCAATTAAAGGTATTAAGCAATAGGCATAGGATCGTGTGAGGAAAAAAAAGTTAAGATAAGAACCGTACAAAAGGATCTGAACCATTGATCATCTTTAATATCAAACCTACCCATAAATTGCGTTTGATACAGAGATTGATCCAATGTATCTCATTATAATGTGCTTTGTAACTTCACATCTTAATTCTCCTTCTCACTGAAACCCAACCCTTAAACAATGATTAACGTGATTAAAAATAAAAGAAACTATTTGGTTTTGTATAATATAATGAGCTTATTCATCCGTAAGTCTAAATTTTCATTTCAGATTAAACCTGGAGATGAAAAGCATTCTCATTTTCATTTATCCCCTATAATCTATACTATATTATAATATGTTTAAGGATACTATCAATGAACAAGTGAACAAAGTCTGTGATTCAATCTGTGAACAAATCGAGCAAACTCAACCCTGGAAATCGAAGAAGAAGAGAATAGTAGAAGAAGACTACCTCTTGTCTCTTCTACGATTGAAGTAGATGAGTAGACATTAGCTCCCGAATCGTTCTCTGCGTGAAGTCCTCCTCTAATCGATGTTGAAGACTATTGTCCTCTTGATTCAATGGTTGAAGTTTTTCTCTGATTCTCTTGATTTAATCAGTATTGATTAAATATGAAAGTTCATTGGTTTTTCTTTTCCGGACTTTTTCCGTTATTTTACCACATTAACCAATTTTATAGGTAATAAGAATGTATCTAACAGGTTTTAGAAAGTCCAAGGAGTTATTTAGTAGGTTTTGAAATGTTCAAGAACTTATTTGTTCTAAAAAATTGTCCAATGATTTATTTGTTTCAAAAAATTGTTTAAGGACTTAATCATTCCAAACACTAAAGTCTATTGAGATTTTTTTAGACTTTTCTCTATATAATTAAACACATGTTGCATACACATAGACACTTAATCGTATACGATTAAACATGAAACACACCCAAAAAAATGTAATCATATATGATATTAAGACTTCTTTTCTTTTTACGAAATATAAAACTTATCACATGATTCTTTCTTTCATATTATAACACGATTTCATAAATCTGAATAAAATAAATATAATTTAAAAAAAAAACACAAAATTTCTTTTATGTAAATACAATTTATTCCTGTGAAAACATGTGAAGATTTATATTTTGTTACTAATAATTAAATAAAGATATAAAAAGGTTATATGAGAAGTTACAAAGAGGTTTAGGAAGTGGACGAAAAGAGTCGGTGGTCGGAGTCGGAGGAGGATAGAAATAGAATACGTGACGAGTCGATATCTGAAAAAAGAATCTAACCTTTTCAATTTCTAAACCCTCGATTCTCTCTCACCTTGCCTTCCACATTCTCTAGATTCCGTTTCCTCTCCAAGATACAACAACCATCTGTAATCATCACTCTCCTCCATTTCTCTTTTATGTTCCTGTTTTGATCGTCATCAACACCACGAAAAAGTCCATCGGAAAACAGAGGGCTTTACATGGGGAGCTTAAATCCGTCTCCTGAACTCACCTTGGATCTCAAACCAAGTTTTATCCCCAAAACTATCAGTCAGTTTCTTGGAGGAATGTCGAGAATCGGTAGCGTAACCGAGAAGGTATTGCAGGTTGATGATTTCGTTGACCGATTAGAAACCGAAACGCGGAAAATCGAAGCATTTGAACGGGAACTTCCTCTGTGCATGCTCCTCATCAATGATGGTTCGTTTCAGTTACCTCTTTTTTACTTCTGCATTTCTCAGCTGGGTTTTGCTTTCCTTCACAATTTGATCGATAAAGACCTATTTTTTTTGTCAATTTCAGTTGTATCTGGAGATGGGGTTTTGATTTTGTTTAAATTGACAAATGTGTTATTTTTTAGTTTTCTGCTGATTTTATTACATGGGTGTTTGGGCTATGATGATCTTGATAGACAATGCATTTTCTTTCTATTTGCACTTTTGTACTCTGCTGTTTGGTAATTTTGGAAAGATGGGCTCTCACTGTTTGATAATTTGTCTCAATAATCCTGCTTTATATTTGATTCATTTCAGCAATTGTTGCATTGAAAGAAGTTTCAATGGTGTTAAAGAAATCATCAAATGCTGAGCCTGTACTTGAAGAATTTATACCACTCAAGAACAGTTGTGATGATGATGCAAAAGTTGAAAGTATCATAAAAAAGGACAGTGGTGATAAAAAGAATTGGTTGAGCTCCACACAGCTTTGGAACACCAATGAGAACATCATCCAGATACCAAATGCAACAATTAAAAAGGTAAAACAGCAAGTGGTATGTTTAGTGTTGATTTAAAATTCATGAAGCTATGTAGTTAAGCGTTTCGATTTGGTTGCAGAGAGCTGAGGAAGAAGATTGTGGGAAAGCATTTTTCTTCCCTGAAATCAAGAATCCAATGAGGGAAAATGGTTTGCTTACTGAAATCAACGGTGACTGTAGATTGACACAAAATGTCCAATCAAACATACAGACTAGCGGCACCGCCGGTCTGCCACCACACCAGCAGACATCCAGGAAACAAAGAAGATGCTGGTCCACGGAGTTGCATAGACGATTTGTCAATGCCTTGCAACAACTTGGTGGCTCACATGGTTAGACCTTGAATCTTGATGCCTATTTTGATTCTAAAAAGATCAACTGAATTGGAAAACAATTAAGTTAGTTTGTAGTAAAGAATCTAGTGGCTGAAATTGGTAAAATTTATCTTTAGAATCTGGTTGTTTTGAAATTCAATTATGTTACGCTTTCTGATCAACATTTTTGGTATATTAGAACAATTAGTTCCTGAATTCTGATCTTTATAAAAGGCTATATAAATCTTCAATTATCATCATTTAGAATCAAGATTCATACAAACCCTTTTGCCAGCAGCCACCCCTAAGCAGATTCGAGAACTTATGCAAGTAGATGGTCTCACCAACGATGAAGTGAAGAGCCATTTGCAGGTGAGATTGTTTTCATAACATTTCCCCATATCACCACTTTCAGAATTGCTAATTTTTCTTCTTCTTCGTGTAATCATAGAAATACAGGCTTCATACACGAAGGTTTCCATCTTCAAACACAAATCAATCAGGTGTTGTTTTGGGTGGCGGTTTATGGATGCCGCCACAAGATCAGTATGTTGGATCCTCCAAATGTAGCAATTCTCAATCCGGTTCTCCTGATGGCCCCCTCCCAAATGGCGGCAACACCATGGACGACGAAGAAGACGAGAAATCTGAGAATTATTGCTGGACTGGTAATCTTTAACCAATTTTAGAAACAAACACCACACTGCAGCCTTTATTTATATATAAGAAAAGATGTAATCTATACACAAATAGTAGAAATTTTGCAGGATTAGTTCGATTTTAACTCCATTAAACTTCTGTTGATTTGAATTATTAGTCCAATAGAGAACATGAAGAATGGATTATATTTAAGCATATTATTCCCCTGGGAAATCTTGAATCATTCCTTTGTTTGAATGGAATTGGCTGTACTCATTTGTTTGAGGGGCATGAGATGCTTTTTTAGTTGGTAGGACTAGGAGGTGTGGATGCTTTGCTTTGACAAGTCAAGCATGTGATGATTAAATTAAACTTTAGGGGTATTTTTGGAATATGTTTATTTTAATGTGTTTTGATGTACTAAGTTGACCAATGATTCTGTTTACATGTTTACTGGATCTCCCTCCAAAAGTAAGAAAAATACTAAAAAATATATTATTGGTTCATGTTGAATTACCTGTTTATCCTTTTTTATTATTACAACATTTTGATAGCATCATTTTCTGTTTTATAAAATCCTTTATATTTGTTATTATTGTTTCTCAAAGTTGGAACCCTTTCTTGTTACAATAGTAATTCTTAAATATATAACAATAAATAAAACCGGTCAAAATAATCATTTTCACTTGTATAAATTGGTCTACTAGTCATTTCTCTTTCTGATTTATTCAAATATCACTACATCCGCAAGTCTCACGTTCTCCGCTTGCGGACCTAGTTAAAAGACAAAAAATGCAAGTTGTAGACCTGGCCGTCGCAATTGTAGACTTGACCGTCACAATTGCAGACCTGCCGTCACAATGCGGAGAAAAAAAGGACAAAGGGTAAATGTGTCAAAAACTTTAGGCTTCAAGATGCCATTCTTGGCTAAAAAGTCTTCTCAATAGACCACCAAAAGTCCAAAACTGTTTGAATGACGCCCTCTGATTTGCTTTTGGACTTGGAAAATGAGAAAATGAAGAATAAAAACTTAAAATAATATTTATTTTGTTATAAAAATAACCACAACATCTTTATTTTCAAATATTTTAGTATTATAGAAATTATAAATATCTATTTATCAATCTTAATAAAATATCTATTTTATTTTATTGGAAAATTGGGATTCATAATTTGGTCAAAACAAGTACAATATGTTACAAACCTGTAAAAATGAGAACCACGCATTCACATCAACGTCAATTCCAGTATCGTTTATGGATTTTCTTATTCAGACTCAAGGGTATTTGTCGAGCAGGTGCACCTTTAAGGTAGATCAAATACTTTTAAAGTCGTCTGATATGTTTTTAACTGAATTTCATTCATTCGAGGGACTTTTTAAGTTTTTTTGGTTGATTTTAAGGAATTTCCAAGTTTTTTTGGTCATTTTCGACATCCTTTTTGATTTTGTTTGATTTTGAGAGAACTTTTTGATTTTTTTGGTTGATATTCTTATATTTATAGTATCTTAGGGGTTGTTTGTTTACTTCTTAATAGTTCCATTAAGAGGCAGTCTCTGAACCGTTAAAAGGTAAATCTTGTTTGGCAAAAAAAAAAGTTTGTCTCTTAATGGTTCTAAAACCCTCTGAATGATTTTGTATCATGGGTTTCTCTTAACCATTCAACGCCTAATTTCATTGTAAACAATTACAATACAATTATATTTCATTTTGCACTATATCATGAGAGCCTCTTGAACATTCTGACCACGTACTCATTCTGCACCAAACCATTCAGCAACTGCCAACTCTTTAGAGTATCCGTCAAAGTTTAACAGGTGCACAGAAACTCGTTCGTACATACATAGGTATGTGGTCCACCCCTGTTCGTAGATAAACAATATTGGTTACAAAAATTAATGAAGTTCAATAACTTACTGACACGAAAAAACCATTTCCAAAAGAGTCATGAAAAAGACAAGCGTAACGTAATTTGTGCAATAAAAGATTGAAAAAGAGAATATGGTTGAAAGATTTAAAGAATCTAAAAAAACAAAATTTTCATTCCTTTGTGGAGGAACAATAAAAATATAAAACGACTACGGATTGATAAGATCAAGAGTCTATGAATCCAAGGAAAAACTTCCATTAAAATGTTAATAAAATTACCAAACCAGTCATACCCCACTTGAAGAATACCATATTGTAGGTGTCTTTTTATGACAAAATGATCCCTTTTTCACATAAATTAATTAGGAGAAGAATCTTCAAGACAAATATGATACCAATTGGGGTCCATTCCGATTGCTTATTTGGTGCGTAAGGATTGCGTATTTAAAACAAGAATAAAAGTGCTGCTATGTTATTTTAGAAATTTTATAGATTTAAAAAAATATGTTTTAATTAAAACAGAGCAAAATAAAAGAGAAAATGTAGAACATTTCTAATTTAGAAAATACAGAGTAAATATAATATATCTGTTAGAGATGCTTTAAAAATACGATTTTTCAAATTATTGTTTTATTTTGATCATATTTAATGTGTGAGGAAATTCAAAAATGGAAGTAGAGTCCACGATATTTGGAATTAATAAAATATTATTTTTAAAGATAAAACTAATTGTCCATTTCTTTTAAAACTAAAATATTTTTACTAGGTTTTTAAAAAATGAACATAGTGAAAAGTTTTTGACATGAGGTTCTTGGTGAGGTTTTTTTTATTTAATTAGTTTTAGATTTATAGAATTTTATAGAAGTTTCGTATTTATTTAGTTTTACTGATTAGTATAATTAAATTAATCATATTTAAATAAACTAATTAAATGAAAATGTGAAATGTAACACTCTAGGATTTATGATTTGTAAAATTAACAAATGTTAAGGATTAAAATTTAAAGAGTAAACGACATACAAGATTAAAGTGTCGATAGTCGAAAAATATGATTTTAAGGAAATGAAACATTCTGTATTTAATTGATTTTAGATGAGAATGCAAAAAAGAAAACTAAAAGGACTGATTCTGCCAAAAGTAAAAAACTAATTTAGTGATTTGGGAAATGATTTCTCAAATCACGTTTTTCATACTCCAAAGCCAATTTGATGCCCTATAAATTCGATTTTTGGTCTGAAATTTTGTGGAATTGTTCCCAAGGGTGTAAGAGAGTAAACCCAATTGGAATTTTGGGATTTTATCAAGAAATGAGGGGGATATCGAGTTTAAAGCGGCATAGGATCATTCTATACAAAAAACGACGATTGGAGGTAAAATACTCAACCAAAATTAATGTATAATATATGGTTGTCTTCGTTCTTCAATTAAATTTCCATTGGTATAATTTTCGTGGGCTATGGTAGTTTATACATCGAACGGTTTGGACTAGAAGCTGCAGTGACAGCGGCTCGACAAGATTCGACACAAAAACTCAAAATACGAGTTTAATAAGAAACCGTAGGGGTTGCAAATTTGGGTATAAGTTTGGATTGTTATTATTTATAAACTTTTGTAAAAATTTGGTGAAAAACGATCGAGAAACGACCTCAAACAGAGGTCGTTCATGATATCTGCACCAAGGGTGTGACCGGGTTGGGCCGGAAGCCGAGTTGGGTGTAACACCCATAATTTTACTATGAGAAATGTTACATAATCTAAAACATATTCTCCAAAAACACTCCAAAATGATGGTTAAATTAAAACTTTAGACCATTTATAGCGGAAGACTTTAAAATAATAAATATATAACTTAATGTGAGCCCGTCTCATACCGGGTAACTTTACAAATTTATCTATCATATATGATTGCATATAAATATTGAGATTAAGTGTGGACTAGACAAGTCTATAGGTCTGCCCTTTTTCCTTTGTTCAACCTGAAACCTTCTGTTACTAAGATGCATACTATAGTCAGCTTATAAAGCTCAGTGAGTTCATGGTTTGCATGGATAAAGAAAATCATTTCACATCATACATATCAACTTGTAAACTCTGCACCAAATAATATGTATTTTCTGAAAAACATGCAACACTAAAAGAAAATAGATCTCATAAATTGTCTGTCAGGTATGAGTCATTTAGTCACTGGCATTCCCTGAATTGTCCGATCTGCTCCTGTCTAGACACTCATTACGGGGTCGTGCCACTTGCGTGTGACTTACTGGTCAAATGCGCACCCACTAAAACTGATCATAAAATTTCATATGAAATAACATGCTAGAGTTATTTGAAAACAAAATAAACACATGACATACAACTGATCATAAAATAACATACATGTAAAATATATCATGTATGTAAATTGCAACATCATGCATACATACACATCACCATATAAATAATATAATGCTTGAGAGTAAATTTGTACATAGGTTTGCATCCCATTGTAAGTCTAATGAAGACTCACCTGATTACGTGTAGATTAACTACCGATAAATCATGACCAGATACCTACACAATTCATATCATAATTCCCATTAATGACTTAATTTCTCCAAAACTCCACAAAAATCAACTATGATCAAACTTTACCCGACTTAAAGTCGAACTCCAAAAAAAAATGGAGTCTCTTAATATCTCAAATATCTTCAGTTAACCTTATTGTAAAAATACTTGTGGGTTGAACGAGTTAAAAGTCAACATCTGCTCAACTCGGTCAACCTCGACTAATTTAGTCAAACCCCAAGTCTAAAACTCGATGACGTCCCAAAACATCAAAATAATCATTTTATAATCTTATAAATCCATTTCTCTAAATTAAAGCGTTCCAATAAATAATTAACTCCAACAATTAATCCCATTATTAAGTAAAATAATCTAATAAACTTCTATATACTACGCTTGATAATGGCTCCTAACATCAGCATATCTTTAAGAACCACCCGTCCGACTTAAAGTACTTCATAGTTCTAAAAACATAAAGCGACACCTTAAACACGACTATTAAATCATTTATCACATAATAAATAATTTAATAATTACATCTGTTCTAATAAATTTCTAATCCAGTGAATACCTTAAATGATTATTAAATTATTTAAGAATAGACAATTTAATAATTTGATTATAGATTCGTAAAATGGTTCAATATATTAATTCAATAACAATTTGAATTAATATATTAAATAAATTATATATGGGGTTGTTTGACAGTTGTTGAATGGTTTGGTGCAGAATGATTAAATGGTCCGAATGATTAAAACACTTTCATGATATAATGCAAAATAAAATATAAGGGGGCGTTTGGTTCAGGCAGATGAA